CAAGGCAATTCCAGATAAGTCAATTCCAGGCAAGGCAAAGTAAGGCAAGGCAAGGCAATACCAGGCAAGGCAAGGCAATGCAAGGCAAGGCAATTCCAGGCAATGCAAGGCAAGGCAATTCCAGGCAAGGCAATTGCTGGAAAGGCAATTCCAGGCCAGGCAAGGCAAGAAAAGGCAGGAAAAGCCAATTCCAGGCAAGGAAATTTCTGCTAAGGCAAGGCAATTCCAGTCAAGGTAAAGCAATGCAATGCAAGGCAAGGAAATTCTAGGCAAGGCAATTCCAGGCAAGGAGAGGCAAACCAAGGTAACGTGAAACAAGGCAATTCCAGGCAAGGCAAGGCAAGAGAAGGCAATTCCAGGCAAGGCTATTCCAGGGAAGGCAAGTCAGGGCAATTACAGGCAAGGAGAAGCAAGGTAATGCAATGCAATTCCAGGCAAGGCAATTCCAGGTAAGGCAAGGCAAGGCAATTCCAGGCATTTCAATTCCAGGCATGGCAATGCAGGTCAAAACAATTCCAGGCAAGGCAAAACAAAACAAGGCAAGGCAAGGCAATGCAATTCCAGGCTAGGCAATTGCAGGAAAGGCAATTTCAGGCTAGGAAAGGCAAGACAAGGCAGGGAAAGGCAATATCAGGCAAGGCAATTCCAAGAAAGACAAGGCAATACAGGGTAAGGCAATTCCAGGCAAGGGAAGGCAAATCTATTCCAGGCAAGGCAATTCTAGGCAATGCAAGGCAAGGCAAGGCAAAAAAATTCCAGCAAGGAAATTTCAGGCAAGGCAAGGAAAGGCAAGCAGAGGCAAGGTCGTTCCAGGCAAGGCAATTTCAGGCAATGCAAGGCAAGGCAAGGCAAAAAAATTCCAGCAAGGAAATTTCAGGCAAGGCAAGGAAAGGCAAGCAGAGGCAAGGTCGTTCCAGGCAAGGCAATTTCAGGCAAGGCAAGGCAATGCAATGCAATGCAATTCCAAGCAAGAAAGTTCTAGGCAAGAAAAGGCAAGGCAATTCCAGACAAGGTAATTTCAGATAAGGAAAGGAAAGGCAAGAGGAGGCAAGGTCATTCCAGGCAAGGCGATTTCAGGCAAGGCAAGGCAATGCAATGCAACACAATTCCAAACAAGAAAATATCAGACAAGACAAGGCAAGGCAATTCCAGACAAGGTAATTCCAGGAAAAGCAAGGAAAGGCAATTTCAGACAAGGCAATTCCAGGCAAGGCAAGGTAAGGCAAGACAATGCAATTCTAGGCCAGGCAATTCCAGGCAAAACAAAACAAGGCAAAGCAAGGCAATGCAATTCCAGGCAATAAAAGGCAAGGCAATTCCAGGCAAGGCAATTGCCAGAATGGCATTCCAGGCCAGGCAAGGCAAAAAAAGGCAGGGAAAGGCAATTCCAGGCAAGGCAATTCCTACAAAGGCAGGTCAAGGCAATTCCAGGCAACCCAATTCCAGTCAAGGCAAGGCAAAGTAGTGCAAGGCAAGGCAATTCTAGGCAAGGCAATTCCAGGTGAATTGACTTGCCTTTCCTGGAATTACCTTGTCTGGAATTGCCTTGCCTTGTCTTGCCTTGCCTTGCCTGGAATTGCATTGCCTTGCCTTGTCTTGCCTTGCCTTGCCTGGAATTGCATTGCCTTGCCTTGCCTGAAATCACCTTGCCTGGAATGGCCCTTTTTTGCCTTGCTTGGAATTGCCTTTCTTTTCCTTGTCTGAAATTACCTTGTCTGGAATTGCCTTGCCTTTTCTTGCCTGGAATTTTCTTGCTTGGAATTGCATTGCATTGCATTGCATTGCCTTGCCTTGCCTGGAATTGCCTTTCCTTTCCTTGTCTGAACTTACCTTCTCTGGAATTGCCTTGCCTTTTCTTGCCTGGAATTTTCTTGCTTGGAATTGCATTGCATTGCATTGCCTTGCCTTGCCTGGAATGACCTTGCCTCTCCTTGCCTTTCCTTGCCTTGCCTGGAATTTCCTTGCTGGAATTTGTTTACCTTTCCTTGCCTTGCATTGCCTGGAATTGCCTTGCCTTCCCTTGCCTGAAATTGCCTTACCCTGGGTTGCCTTGCCTTGCCTGATATTGTCTTGCCTGGCTTTGCCTGGATTTGCCTTCCCTGGAATTGCCTTGCCTTGCCTTACCTGGAATTGCCTTGCCTTGCCTTACCTGGAATTGCCTTGCCTTGCCTTACCTGGAATTGCCTTGCTTGCAATTGCCTTGCCTTGCCTTGCCTTTCCCTGTCCTGCCCTGCCCTGCCCTGCCCTACCTTGCCCTGCCTTGCCTTGCCTTGCCTTGCCTTGCCTTACCTTTTGCCTTACCTTTTGCCTTGCCTTGCCTTTTGCCTTGCCTTGCCTTGCCTTTTGCCTTACCTTGCCTTGCCTTTCCTTTTGCCTTGCCTTGCCTTGCCTTGCCTTGCCCTGCCTTGCCCTGCCTTGCCCTGCCTTGCCCTGACTTGCCTTTCCCTGCCCTGACTTGCCTTGCCTTGCCTGGGATTGCCTTGCCTTGCCTTGCCTTGCCTTGCCCTTCCCTGCCCTGCCCTGCCTTGCCCTACCCTTCCCTGCCCTGCCCTGCCCTACCTTGCCTTGCCTGGAGTGGAGGAGAATGGCTCCAGTGTCAGATTCCCCAACATGCTGCATGCTCAGCAGGATCTGCTCACAGACATTTAGGGAACACTCACCTTCCCCACCTTGTCCGGTGCAGAGGTAGCTGGACAGAACTACACTGGGTGTTGGTGTCATCCAGAACCCCACACACTTTGCTAGTGTGATCCTGCTTCCCTCTGCTGGGCAGCTGCATCCTTTTCTCCTGCAGGATTTTCTGGAAACTCGGCTCTGGGTTTCATCTCCCTTCTCCCCTCTCCTTGCCCCAACCTCCTTTTTCTGAAAAAGTGAAGGAATTGTTTATGGGTTAATTTGTTGAAAATAAGTGGTGGCCTCCACGCTTCTGTTTTCTTTCAGCCTGCTGGTAATGCAGGGTTACAAAGGATGCCTGGGCTCCCACACAGGTGCTGGCAGAAGGGGTGGCAGGTGGTGCTGTGCCTCTGCCTGCTCGAGGAAGGAGACCATCCCCCTGCCCCTCGTCCCTAGGCCGGGATTCTTCCTGACCTTCTGAATATCCTGTAGTCCAGAGACCTCAGAACCCACTCCTGAGAGAGCAGAGCCAGGCACTTGGAGAAACACAAAATGGTGCCATTCTAGGATCTTATTAGGTATCTGAATCAGTTAGGAAAAAATTAGGAGCTATGTATAAAACTTAAAATATTCAAGTATTAAAAGGTTATTTGAATCAACGTTTTAAAACATGCCATCAGCAAGCTTCTACCACTAAGTGGGGACTTTTACAGAAGTTGAACAAGTTCCCTGAGTTGAGAGAAAAATGAAGCCACCTGTGCTGGGGACACTTGAGGCGGGGAGAGTGTTGGCAGAGGGAAGCCAGAGAAGTCCCGTCCTGTGGAAGCCAAACAGGAGAGCGTGAGCCAGGAGGGCAGTCAGGATCGGGGATGAGGTTGCTCTCCATGGAGGAGGAATCCTAAAGGGCACAGCCTGGGACTCCCTCCCCTGGGGTCCAGTCCCCCAACATTTCACAGGCCTCCTGGAGTTGCCTTCCAATAAGGACAAACACAGCAAGAAAAGATCCATTTCTGCACAAAAGTCCTTCTGGAAAAAAGAAAAAAGAAAGCTGTGAATGGAGTCAAAATGTTACCCAGTGCTGACTTAGCCTCTCAATTCTTTTCTAAATGGAGTGTCATTTCCTAGTCAGGGAATGGAAGAGGCCCCTCCCACACAGGGATAGGGCCATGACCCCAGAGGATGAAGCAGCAGCATTTATTCAAGATACAACAGTGAGGAAATCCTGTCACATTCCTATGTCCCCAGAGAGGGCACATGTTGAGATGTGATCCAGAAGACATGTAAATTCCTAAAACCACTCCCTTCACTCTGTCCCCCAGGACCTGGCCCAGACTCTGAGATACACTGGCTTGGGATGCCCTCAGGTGGCTATGTGAAAAACCACAGTTTAGGGCTAGTCTGGGGCTTCCAGACCTGGCCAGGATGTTCCCAGGCCACCTGTCCTTCTGCTTTGTCTCAGTGTCCCTTGGCAGATGGCCTGATGCTTGGGGCTGGCCCAAGGACACCTCAGGAAGGTTTGGGTCCCACTCTACAATGGTCTGATTATACAGAGGGACATCTATCTGCCTTCTGGAGATGGACAGGGGCCTTAAGACTTCGGTTGAGAACAGGATGCTCTGTCTCTTACTGTCTGGGGCAGGGATGGCCTCCAGCTGCAGGAAGTACAGCAGCACCTGGACCTTCCAGAAAGAGTGGGAAAGAGGAGAGAGGCTCAGAGGGTGCTCACAGCTGGTGATCTTTAGCCCCAAGTCCAGCTGAGGTGCTGGGTCCTCTGCTGCTGCCATGAAACCTTTACAGTGAGATGGGAGGTGGGGGTGTGGATGAGGACAAGGCATGACTTGGGGGGGTTATTTTAGAGGTGCACAGGGCCTTGCTGTGTCACCCAGGCTGGAGTACAGTGGCTCCATCATGGAGCACTGCAGCCTCTAACAGCTAGGCTCAAGGCATCCTCCCGTATCAGCCTCCCCAGTACCTAGGACTGCAGGTGTGTGCCACAATGCCTGACTAATTTTTCCTTTCCTCTTTTCTAGAGATGGGGTTTGCTGCATTGTCCAGACTGGTCTCAAATACCTGGGTTCAGTTATCCTGCTGTGGTCTTTCAAAGTGCTGGGACTACAGGCATGAGCCTCCACACCCAAACACTTGGGGTGGTTTTAAGCCCCGAGTAAGGTGCACCAGCAGGACCAAGAGGTGGCCTGGGCCTCCCCAACACTCTCATCCATGCAGGCCTAGGCAAGTTTCTCTCTCTGAATCTCAGGCACCACCACAGACAATGCAAGTAGGAAGCTGGGCAGGGCAGGACTGAGGGTGTAGCAGGCAGAGGCCACCTCTGTCAAGTCAGGGTGGCATGGACTGGCTGAAGCCTGTCTTCCCACACGTAGGTTATGACCTCCAAGGACCAGCTGTAGGTCATGGTGATGGGCCACTGGGATTGGCAGAAAGCTTTCTCTCCTTCTCTGAGGCTGGAGCAGCGTGGGGCCAAAGACCATGGTGAGGTTGTGCAGGGACTTTTATTGACTGCCTTTTTCTTACCACCCTGTGCAGGACCAAAGCAGAGGGTGCTATTTCTATGCCACCACCAGGAAAGAGGCAGAGGGGCTGGGCCATGCTGGAGTCCTCTGGGAGGGAGCGACCTCGACCCTGGCTGTGCTGCAAGCTGATTCCAGCCCTGGTACTTGTGGGTCTCAGCGGCCCACAATGAGGGGTTAGCTCTGGGCTGGTGGGGAGGTCTCCTCCATGGTCAGGGAGTGAGGGAGTTGGGGGATTCAAGTGCACTGTTGGCTATGGCCAAAGCTCTCTCTTTGTGAAGCCACAGAGCAGAGGGGGGAGCAGGGCAAAGAGGAGAGGCTGGGGTGGGGATGGCAGGGGTGCTGGTTCCCAGAGGCAGTAAGGGACTGTAGATGGGTTGGGGGAAAAGGTCCTCTGTGCTGGGGGTCTGATGTGAGCAGAGGGGCACCCTGTGGCCTGGGTTTTTGTAGCCCTCCCTGGGCAGCCATGAGAGAGCTGGGCTACCTTTTCAGGTGGTCCAGAAGGAAAAGGAAGGTGAGCAGGTTGGCCTCCAGCCGGGACAAGGGCAGGTTGAGCATGGAGTTCTCCTTTGCAGCGGGGTCTGAAATTACTGCAGAAGGCAGTGGGTTACTTCTCATGGTCACAACGAGCTGGAGACCTCTCCCGACTTGGTGACATGAAGCACCTGGGACACATGTTACTGAACAGCCTAGGCTCGTCATCATCCTCACTCCTACAGCACTGGGCCCCAATAAGGACCCTGTGAAGGGTGCCAGTGTGGGGTATAAGCCACCTGAATCCCTTTTCTCTGCCCCACAGGGGTCAGCAGCACCTGGAGAACAGCAGCAGGAGACGGCGTGAGAGCAGTGGCTCATGGGCAGAGCTGCCAGTGGGAAACTGCAGCTGCCACCCCCTCCCAAGGGCAGCCCAGAGTAGTGGAGGCTCAGCATAAAACTAAAAAGGGGAGTGAGGGACACAAGGAGGTGGGAGATGGGTGGCTCCAGCCCCACAAACTAAGCAGAGACCCTCTCTTCACCCTAGACTCCGCAGGGGCACCTCAGGCTGGTCCTCTGGGCGTGGGCCCAGGAGGCAGGCCTGCCCTAAGGGTCATGCAGAGGATACAGGGCCACACACGCCAGTGCCCTGCTTAGACATCAGCCTGCAGGTGGACTCGGGGTCAGGCCAGGTTTGATCCTGTGCTTGACTGGGCCAGGACCCATGGCTAGAGCACCTGGGGACCCTCGTTCAGCCCTGGTCTGCTGGAAGGGGGACAGCAGACTTTAGGACCCCACAGCACAGCAGTGATGAGCATTTTACTCTCTTGGTCTCCTTGAGGAATAGGACAAGGAGTCCTCTGGGGACAGACGAGGACTTACACAACTGCCTCAGTTGTGGTCCCTGCTTTCTGAGCTTGGTTAAAACACTGGCCATGGCAGAAAGGACACAGCTTGGGTTCTCACACCTCACTTTCCACAGCCCCTAACGGCAGCAGTGCACATGGAGGAGATGCCTCCTATGACGCCAAGGCCTCCAGTGCTCACCAATGCCTTCATCCAAGTTGGGTAGAACTTGTCAGTGAAGAGGGGCTCAGGCAGCTCACGGAAGTAGAGCTTCAGCATGTCTGCGATGGCGTGTACATCCATCTCACTCATCATCATCGACACATCCCTGTTATCTGGAAAGAACATGGAAGTGCTGCAGCCTCCTTGAGGATCCCAAGTAGGTCTCCCGCCATCCCTGCCTTGGCAAAAGCACCGTCCCTGCCATGCTGGCCACTGTGCGGGTCCGTCCCTGGCTTTGAGCAGCTCATCTTCCTCCCCCCAAGAGCTGTGCATGGTTCTGTGTCTGTGTAGAGATGATGGAGGGGTGTGTGCATCTCCATATTTCTCCCCTGCTTGGCTCCATCATGGATCACTGCAGCCTCTAACTGCTAGGCTGAAGCCATCCTCCCGTGTCAGCCTCCCCAGTACCTAGGACTACAGGTGTGTGCCACAATGCCCGACTAATTTTTCCTTTTCTCTTTTCTAGAGATGGAGTTTGCTGCATTGTCCAGACTGATCTTAAACACCTGGGTTCAGTTATCCTGCCGCAATCTCTCAAGGTGCTGGGACTACAGGCGTGAACCTCCACACCCAAACACTTGGGATGGTTTTAAGCCCCCAGTAAGGTGCACCAGCAGGACCTCCCCAACACTCTCATCCATGCAGACCTAATTTGTTTATTGTTATCTGAAATTCAAATTTATTTATGCATCCTGTGTTGATCTGGCAACCCTATACTATCTGTAACCCTGTAATAGGCCCTCTCAGAGCACACTGATAGGAGATATGTGTATTAACCCATGTATATACACATATCTACTATTAAATTTTTATATATGTGTGGTTAAATATGAGTCATACTTATTTCTCTAACTCAAATCCAGTATCACAGGGTTCCTTCTAGCCTTCTGCCTTTGCTTATCTATAACTTCTCTCTCCAGCATTGAAAAACCTGACCCCCACTATCCACTCTTCATTTACTTATTTGCCCCTTCTTACTCATGGTGCATGTAAAGCTATTTCAGAATTGGTCACAGCCTCCCCACCCCCCCCCCCACCCCAAGCCCGATGAGAAACAAACTTACAAGTTGCAACACAGTGCTGAGGTCCAGTTCCTTTGGCCTTTAGCCTTGCAATTGTAAGTCAAAGCAGCACCTGCAAGGTTACTTTGGTTTGCTCCTTTTCCCAACCCCTCAGGGATGTTATGTGTACAGTGACACTCATTCCTGAAAATCTACATTCCCCTCCATCCTGGTTATTTTTCTTCATCTACAAAATGTGAGAATGTCAATGTTTTATTTGGTACAAGGATAAGGAGGAAAACAGCAAAATAATTTTGATAATAAGATTTACACTTTATCACAAGTGATTTTCCTAAAACACAACTTTCACATTTGGCTGCGTGAAACAGAGAGAGAGAAAAAAGGGAACTTTCACTAGTTTTAAGTAGGCCAACTCATATGATCCCTCCAAATGAGTTTAAATGAGAATGAGTACTTTTTTCCTAGCTGGGAAAATATTTTCCTTAATTGAGTTTAAATAATTTACCCATAGTGATGAATAAGCCCTTGGGCTAGGCTCAGAAACCTCTTCTACCAGCCTGTTTCATAAGAATTAAAAAAATATTTAGGGGACATACATGAAATATATATATATATATATTGGGTTGTAATAGTAGAGACAAGAATTTTTAAAATCCGTACTATTTCTCGTTCCGGTCTCTTTCTCCTAAATGCACCTTCTGAGTTTCTTAGGTATGCTTTACAAAGACTACTTTACTTAATGGATTAATGTGTTCATCAACTTTAGCACCCTATGTGTGTGTTAAGAGTAATGAGAACGGGCTAGTTAAACTGCTTCCTCATAGCCTTGGCCTTCATTACCAGTAGTAAAGTTGACAGAAAACAATGAGGAAGAAGTACCATAGCCCACAGGCACCTAGGAATGGGGAATTAATTCAGACTGAGAAAATATGGCTCTGGAGAGACACCAAAGTCGTATTGCAAATTTATGAAGTCGAAATGAACCCTTTCGCCCCAGCTTCAGACTTAGATAAGGTGTGAGATGTCAGGGATGTGCATGGACCCTTCCAAAAATGATATTTTCATCCGTGTTCTTCCCCCTTCCCTCTCCTGCGAGACAAAATATACGGAAATACAAGTGCTTGGTACTACATGTTTTTGAGGCTTAAAAGCCCAATAATAAGCACGCTGCATCCGTTGTTGAAGGGGATCACTTTTTAAATAAACATCACCAGAAGAATCTCTTCAAACGGAGAATGAAGTCACTCTCCCTCCCCAGAGGCTATGAGGGAAAAGGGAGACGGATATTTCCCCTACTTGCACGTGGGATCTCCCTTTGTCTGCCTTGGGAGGTAGCTGAGAGAAAAGGCAAAGCTCAGTTCTCCATGGCAAAGTCTTTGGTCTTCTCCTCCTGGTCTCCCACTTTGTAGCGCAGCAGCACGTGTAGGCGACGGGGGTTGTCCCGGGAGGGCAGTAGCGTGATCTCTCCTGATACGTCCGTGTCTTGCTCCACTTGCACCGGCTCGTTCAGGTAGAGGAGCTCCTGTTTCCAGTGTGTGGCGGGTGAAAGGCGAGGTGGACAGCACTAGGGGTTTCTCCGACTCCCCTCCAGGGAAGGTCACCTGTACCCAGATGGCAAAGCCGTGCATGGGCGCCGAGCCGTAGCAGCTGCAGCGGAAGCGCCCGCCCTCTCCGGCCTCCAGCTCCTGCTCCAGGCCAGCGCGGGAGAGCTCTAGCTGAGCAAAGCGCTGCGCCGGGCCAGCGCATCATCGCCGGACAGTCCCTGCACCACGATCTCCGAGTGGCCCATGAGGCAGCGCGTGGCGAAACCCTCCAGGCAGCTCATGTCCACACCATAGTGCTGCTTCACCTGGTTCCAGAAGCCCAGGCGCCATTCCAGCATCCGGTCGCTGATGGGGGCTATGAAGAGCTCGGCGGAGGCCGGCAGGAGAAGACCGCCTTCCTTCAGCCACTTGGTGAAGGACGGAGCTCAGCGTGGACTCGTGCAGGAGTCCGTATCCCATCCACTGGTTCACGATGGCATCCACCTGCTCCGGCAACTCCACAGTCTCCACCGGTCCCGGCAGGACGTGCACCCAGTCCTCCAGCCCGTTGAACCGCACCAGCTCCCGAGCTTGTTGCCAGATGGCGCTGGCCTCTACCGCGTACATGCGCCAGGCGCCGGCCTGGGCACAGAAGATACTCAGAATGCCGGTGCCCGCTCCCACGTCCAGTACCGTCTTGCCTCGCAGTGCTGCCCAGTTCCGCAGGATGCTCAGGCGGTAGGCATCGGTGCGGACACGGTCTCGGACACGGTCTGCGATCATCTCCTTGTGGACCGAAACGTCTGAGTAGCACTCCTAGTACAGCTGGTCCCACTCCCGCTTAGTCCTCCAGGGTCGCTCCAGGGCCGCCTCCCGCTCAGCACCATCTTCCTCTTCAGTTCCTTCCCCTCCTTCGCCACCGCTCCCCGACTCAAGCTTTCTTTTCTTGGGCTGCGACATCTTGGCCCTAATTTTTTTTAATTGTATGTATTAAGAGTTCCCACTTTGTGATATACAGTTCTATGGATTTTAAGAAATGCAGAGCCATTTATCCTCAACCCAGTATCATACAGAATTGTTCCTTCCCCAGCCCCCAACCCTGGCTTTTGGAGACAGGGTCTTTCTCTGCCACCCAGGTTGGAATGCAGTGGTGCGATCACAACTCACTGCAGTCTCAAACAATCCTTTTACCTCAACCTCCTGAGTAACTGGGACTACAGGCATGTGCACACATCCCCAGCTATTTTTTTACTTGTGTGTGTGTGTGTGTGTGTGTGTGTGTGTGTGTGTGTGTGTGACGGAGTTTCGCTCTTGTTACCAAGGCTAGAGTGCAATGGCGCGATCTTGGCTCACTGCAACCTCCGCTTCCTGGGTTCAGGCAATTCTCCTGCCTCAGCCTCCTGAGTAGCTGGGATTACAGGCACGCACCACCATGCCCAGCTAATTTTTTATATTTTTAGTAGAGACGGGGTTTCACCATGTTGACCAGGATGGTCTCCATCTCTTGACCTCGTGATCCACCTGCCTCAGCTTCCCAAAGTGCTGGGATTACAGGCGTGAGCCACTGCGCCCGGCCTGATTGTGTTTTTCAAACTAGGCCAGAAGGGCCCCTCAAACTCTAAAATACAAAAATTCTTGCTGCTCCTCTTCTCAAATCTTCTCAGATTCTGGACATACCCAGCAATTCCATGTGCCTTTTTATTCCCTTAATCCTGTTAACTTTTTGTCTCTTCTTAGCAATGACTTTCTTTCATTTTAGAGAAAGTTCTGCTAGTAACATACTCACTTTGTAAGCCAGGAAAAAGAGAACTTGAAGGAAGAATAACACATTTTTCTTAATTTTTTTGCAAGGGAAAAAATAAAGGAAGTGGAGAAATATACTACTCAATACAGTTGTCAAACAAATGTCTTGGAACCATGGCCTCCGAGAATACCCATCTGAACTGCATTGCAGTAGAAACCACATTTTCATATTCCTTTTGTGAAAATTCAGAGATAATGAATTAGATGTTACCCATTGTTTTCCAGAATAGGATTTCTGGAGTTACTGGTAGTTCAGAGAGTTTTAGTCACAAGATATATATTTTCTATAGGGGTGTGTGTGTGTGTGTGTGTGTGTGTGTATACTTATGTAAATGCACATATATACACATACACACAAACATACATGTGCTATAGCTTTTGAATGGAGATATATGTGTGCATGCGTGCACACACACACACACACATTCATTCATTCATTCATGTCATACAGTTTCTCTGAAGAGCAACAGAAGAAAAATGCAGGAAATAAAAAGACAAGCTGGGGTCAGTCCTATACAGCAAGCTCTTTGAGGTCTCTATCAGAAATAAAAGATTTCAGTCTTTTTTGGCTGGGCACAGTAGCTCATGCCTGTAATCCTTGTACTTTGGGAGATAAAGGTGGGAGGATCACTTAAGCTCAGGAATTCAAGACTAGTCTGGGCAACATTGTAAAACCCCATCCCTACAAAAATTAGCCAGGTATGGTAGTTGGGACTACAGGCGTAGTCCCAGCTACCTGGGAGGCTAAGGTGGGAGGATCACCTGAGCCAGGGAGATATAGGCTGCAGTAAGCCATGATGGTGCCACTGCACACCAGCCTGGGTGACAGAGTGAGAATCTGTCTTTAAAAAAAAATCCATCTTTCATAATTATTCAAATTAAAAAAACAAAATAGAGATGTGAAGACTTGGCTCAGGAAGATTCAGTCATCTCAACAGCTCTTTGTAAAGGACTGCCAGCAGACTCCTTTTGACTCTAAATGGAAAAGGATACCAACACAGTTCTTCCTAGAAAGCTAATCTATAGTTAAAATAGGCACACTACATAGCTCTGTGTGTGTACAGTGTTGTAATTGTCTAACAGACTGGAGACACTAAATGCACTCAGTGCATAAAACACATTTAAAATAAAGAAGGAATTCCTGAGGGAATAATAAAACCAAGGATGTGACAGTAATTTCGTGAGCCATCCAGGTATAATTACCAGCCAATAAAAATAAAATATTTCATAATGCTCTCAGCTTTCTTTAAATATTGGCTCATAAGGCACTGTTCTGTTATTTGCTTTCATTAAAACAGTCTTTAAAATCAGTATCTCATAGCTGTTAGTATGTACTAGTGGGAAATTATTATTATTATCATTATTATTTGAGATGGAGTCTCGCTCTGTTGCATAGGCTGGAGTGCA